GAAGTACGCGACTACCAAGCATCCTCGCGATTGAGAAACACCCTCTGACTCCTGTCCTGGCTGTGTGTCAGCCCCGCCCCTCACAGCCTGGCTAAAACGCTGGTCACATCCTTATGTAAACGGCAATTTATCGAGCTCAGAAAAGTTATCGAGTCCATTTTTATTTATCGTACGATAAGTCAATTTATCGATTATCGCGACAGGCCTATGTGTGTGCGTAGATGCAGCGGACAGACAGGTCTCAGTTGGTTTGGTGTCCTATGCTTACTTTTAATACTTGTAAATAAAACATTTGGCCCGTAATTTATTTTCCTCATTGTAGCGACCAGAGAGATGGGGGGGGGGGGGGGGGGGGGGTATATCCAGTCTATGATAGTGTTACGTTATTATGAGAGTGCTCTCATACTTTGATTCTGAAGTTGTATATATTTATATAAATACAATGTTTCCACTTTATACATTCAGCAGCGCCGCTGCTTAATGTATGCTCGCCGCTGCTACGGGGCGCCAGCCAGGCACCAACATTTTTTAATTATATTATACATTAAAATAATAATACATGACGCTCGTGTCATCGCCACGGAGGAGCACACAGCCTCTGTGAGCGAGCGAGACAGAGAGAGCGAGAGCTAGAGAGCACACCTTTATCTATTTAATATAGTTGTAAAAAATAAAGTAAGAAATCATTCCAATGTGTACCATAGGACAGTAAAAACAACTAAAAACAGTTTAAAAGGGGATTGATTAATAAAATATGCATAAATAAAAAGAAAGAATGCTAACCAGGTAACATAAGATAAGAATAAACAAGTATAAATGATTTGTTATATGTTGTGATCATATTCTAAAGATGTTTGGATTATTGAAAAGTAAACAGCTCCCTTTCATCTGAGTGTTGAGAGCTGTATCCATACATTCATGTGGTGCTCAAAGTGCACCAGATTGATGCTTTTCACTTCAACATTTAAAAACATCTTGTGTGCATGCCCCCGGACCCCCCTAGAGAATGTGAGGTCCACCCGGTCCACCCCCAAATAAAGAAGGTTAAAATAATTAAATTGCATACATTTTCTTTTGATTGTTTGTTATGTGGATGTTAATGATGATAATCGATAAATTGACTTATCGTACGATAAATAAAAATGGACTCGATAACGCTCAAGAAGGGGAAACACTGAAATATATATATAATATATACGTGTGTGTATTTGTCCGCATCTGTAGCCTGGTATTGTCTCATTACACCGCACTGTGAATGAATTAAAAGTAAATATATAAGTCATCATGAACACATCTGTCCATCAGACAGAGGGCTGCTGTGCCTCCTGTCATCATTAATGGACGTCTCTTTAAAATGACCGCTCAGAGGAGAGGAGTTCTCATTTCTCTAACTGCCTGCTGCTTCCCCCCCTCTCTCCTCGGTTCCCCTCCTCGACTCCTCCGTTCGCATATCCTGTGGGCAGGACTAAGACACGAGGATAGGATTCGAGGAGGGAGTCGAGGAGGGGAATAGTGAAATGAGAAAGGGCCCGGGAGTCCGTACACAAAACTCCCAACCCCCGGGGGGGAGTGGACTGGCGCAAATAATGACACCGCATTTGCGCATAAGATAAAGCCCCCAGCAAAATGAGGCCCTACGCACTGCACGTGTTCTGCGAGAGGGGCGGCCCCGAGTAACGAAGGTTGCGTTCCAATAGTCCATTTAGCTTAGGGACCTTCCTAACGGAGTGAAATGACCCGGAAGTACGTCACTGGCAGCCATGATAAGTGCCGTTCCAATTCTCCAAATGAAAGGAAAGGAGGTTTCAAACTTCCTTTATAACCTCCTTTAGCTTAGGAACCACTGGACCTCCCTTACCGAAAGGAGAGGAGAAAATGCTGCCCCACAATGCATTGCAGCCGCAGCATTTGCCGTCACACAACAGTCGGCCGTTCACGGACACAACCGATTATGACCGAGAAATGATATCATGAAAGTTACGGTGCTTATTAAGCATTTTAAAACGTATGTGGTAAGTTGCCAAAGTGCTTTTTTCTGAACGTTCATCAGTATTATAATCAAAAAGAGAAATATGAACGTTAGTTTTTACTGAAATGATCAAATAAAGTCAACATTTCACAGTCTTTACTGAGCTGTGTGGGGTTTGTTCAACTTTTAAAAGATGTTTGAATGGTGATATACACAGTGATAGATGTTAAGAACTAACGTTTATAATAAATACATCTGTATTGATTTTAAGATATTTTCATACAATCATACGTATTGGGATCATTTGTATTAATGTGGACCGGAGGGAGAGGGTGACGAGCATAAGTTTCACTTTCCTTTTTTATTTCAATTCCAACTTTGGTCATGAAGAATATGTTTCTCTGTTGTCCACGTTCATAAAGCAACAGCATCAGAGCACGGTGCAGAGTCTCTAGATGAGTTTACAGTAGTCCCTCGTTCTTATTAAACATCCATGTTGTAGTCCGCTGTATAGAAAACTATAGTTTCCCCACCATGGATGTATAATAAGAACTGGATACAGCGTGGGAGGCGGGGCCTCATTCATTCATATGAGAGTTGCTCATTAGCGCATGATGATAAAATGGCCCAATTTTTGAGAGAGTGAAACGTCACAGATTACCCAGCATGCCTGAGAAGTACCCGTATGTGCACTCATAGAGCATGCGCAACTTTAACCAAAATGCTCGTTCACATCAAGCACGTCAATTTGCGTACACGTAACAGCACCGCGCGTTCATGACAGCATGGTAATGGCTTGTTGTTATCATGGATTTGATATGAACGAGGCGGCAGTTAGCAGCTAGCGGCTAGCTAGTAATTATGCTAATGTACACATCAATCGTTATGTACTTATATTACGCTGTAACAGGATCTAGTGATATCCAACAGAGCTTCAAGCATGAAAGAATGATTGCACTGTATATATATATATATATATATATATATATATATATAGCCTATTTATATACAGTGCAATAAGCTTCTTAGTGCAATAATAAGCTACAGGGACGTTAATCTAACGTCGGTAATATTAACTTTATTTAATACAACATTTACAGTACAAGATTTACATCATACAGCCCATGTAGTATAATATTTTACAAATGATGAATTACAGCAAACATGTGCAATATATCCATTATTACAGCTCCGTGGGATGGCAGTAAGGCGATATGGTCCGTTGTTATTGTGCATCCATGGGTAAAGAGAAACTCATGTAGTGCTGAACACGTAACATGAACGTGCCGGGCGGCGCGGTCCCGTGGGTTAGATGCGCGTTCATAATGCAGAGGGAAATAACTCTCAGAATAACGTTATTAGCACATTTTTACAACTTGAGGAACGAATGTTTTTAATAAGGGCTATACAAACGTTCATACTGGGTAGTTTATTTAGTTTAAAAAAAATTATCCAACGAGTTACAGACCACTCTTTCTCCATGTAAATCAATGGGAAAACGTTTTTCCGGGCCCAGCAACCTAAAGGAAGTGTAGTACCGCCGTTTGGCCACAACGAATATTCTCATCAGACTCCGGCGCACTTCCTGGGGGCTTGGCTTGTTCCCCACAGCAGCAGACGCACATTCATGACGTCCGCTGGCGCATCATAAACACGTCGGATAGTGAAAGTGCATTCGGATTCTCTAAAGTACCGGGTTGCATTCCGATAATCCAAAAATCAGCTCCTAAATTCTAACCCTATCTCCTATTCCTTGACCTCTGAGTGAAACGTCACGGGGTTAAGGGATAGTGGATAGGCGAATTCAAAAGGACTTAGGAGAAGAGACTGCGGTACTTTAGAGAATCCGAATGCACTTTCACTATCCGACGTGTTTATGATGCGCCAGCGGACGTCATGAATGTGCGTCTGCTGCTGTGGGGTAACTATGGAAACTACAGTTTTCTATACAGCGGACTACAACATGGATGTTTAATAAGAACGAGGGACTACTGTAAACTCATCTAGAGACTCTGCACCGTGCTCTGATGCTGTTGCTTTATGAACGTGGACAACAGAGAAACATATTCTTCATGACCAAAGTTGGAATTGAAATAAAAAAGGAAAGTGAAACTTATGCTCGTCACCCTCTCCCTCCGGTCCACATTAATACAAATGATCCCAATACGTATGATTGTATGAAAATATCTTAAAATCAATACAGATGTATTTATTATAAACGTTAGTCCTTAACATCTATCACTGTGTATATCACCATTCAAACATCTTTTAAAAGTTGAACAAACAACACAGCTCAGTAAACATTGTGAAATGTTGACTTTATTTGATCATTTCAGTAAAAACTAACGTTCATATTTCTCTTTTTGATTATAATACTGATGAACGTTCAGAAAAAAGCACTTTGGCAACTTACCACATACGTTTTAAAATGCTTAATAAGCACCGTAACTTTCATGATATCATTTCTCGGTCATAATCGGTTGTTTCCGTGAACGGCCGACTGTTGTGATGGCAAATGCTGCGGCTGCAATGCATTGTGGGGCAGCATTTTCTCCTCTCCTTTCGGTAAGGGAGGTCCAGTGGTTCCTAAGCTAAAGGAGGTTATAAAGGAAGTTTGAAACCTTCTTTCCTTTCATTTGGAGAATTGGAACGGCACTTATCATGGCTGCCACTGAGGGACTTCCGGGTCATTTCACTCCGTTAGGAAGGTTCCTAAGCTAAATGGACTATTGGAATGCAACCCCGCAGTCTCTTCTCCTAAATCCTTTTGAATTCTCCTATCCACTATCCCTTAACCCCGTGACGTTACACTCAGAGGTCAAGCAATAGGAGACAGGGTTAGAACTTAGGAGCTGATTTTTGGATAATCGGAACGCAACCCTAGTCTACATCCATGAGTCTGAGCAGTTAACAAAGTAGCAGCTAAATGAGCAAAGCGGCTGTTGCTGGATGAGAATGTAGCTAACGTTAGCATTAGCATCAGTTGAGCTGTTCGGGTGGTGCTTCCTGTTTCAGCGGGGATATAGCCTACCAGGTAACCGTGAACGTCTTCGGGCCTGTGGATGAAGAGCTGGTTCAGGGCCCTCTCTAGCTCCTGGGGGACTCTGTTGAGCCGGTAGAACTCTGCTGCTGCACTCTTCATGTGGTGCAGGTCCTGCTCCTCCTCAGAGAGCCTGTTAGCCATGTCAAGGTGTCTTCACTGTGTACGCACTCAGTATGTTGTGCGTTTCCATGGAAACAACCCATTCAAGTGACAGCAAGAGCCCAGGAAATCAGAGTGATCGTTGATGCCTGTGTATTTGCCATCTAATAAAAACGGAATATCTAAAATGAAAAATACCTCTATTCATTTCATGTATCTATTAACCATGACGGGTAAATTTGCTGCCATGTTATGAATGCAACCCTCTGCTTTGTAATGCTTTTCAAAGTAAAATGTAATTATAGGATTAGGCTTTAATTGGTATGCACCTTATCAACAGTAAATAGTTGGTTGGTGTAGTGATGTTGCACATGTTGTACATGTTGCTGCCTATAAGGGCAAACACATACAAAAAGTAGGCCCAGTTTAAAATAAAGATATAAGAAGAAACACACATATTCTATTGAAACATAAACCAACAGTGAAACAAAAACATGCGTTTGAGTTAGCCTAGTTGGAAAAAATAAAAATAATGTTCTTCAAAGTGTATAGTTCTTAAATGTAAAAAATATGCAGAGATATTTGTAAGATCGATGTATATTCTTTCAAACGTCTGCCTCGTATTAACTACTTTTATTAAAATACAAATACCATAGGGTGAGTGGATGGGTTTGGTTCCTGACTTAGGCTACTTCATTTTTAGAGGATTGGTACAGGCCGGATTTGTCCTTTTTGTGTGTTTAATATATGTCAATACTGTCACATATTAATTCAGCTAATAAGTGATACGTTAGACTAAAATGTTGAATTGAATTGAGGTAGGCTAACTGTTTTGGAGCATTATCAGACTGACAGCAGGCCGGTGTTCTATTCGACAGTCGCTGTCCAAATGACGAAGGGTTCTTCTACAACGGTAAACAGCCTTTTTGGATAAAGCACATCTTATTTATATTGTATTCATTATTGCTCAATGATCTGCTTGATTATTTGCTTGAAGGACTACTCCTTCTGTACATTGTTCCTGGCACTAAATAGCATGGGGCTCCTTTGATTGAACAACTTTTCAACATCTCACTGTCCTGTGATGGTGCATTCAGTGACACTATTATATTCACCAAAAAAAAAGAAAAGATAATGTTAAAAAATCTTCCCTTTTTCTTCCCTTTTCATACAAGAAATAGTTATTTATTTCGAAATATTCAAAATATTGCCAATAATAATATGAATGCTTGCTCAGCAGAAGCTTTTCAGTCCAAAGAAAATCATAATTCAGGGATGGCCGACAGACAGACAGAGACACACAGACACACACACAGACACACACACAACACACACACAGACACACACACACACACCCACACACACACACACAGACACACACACACACACACACACACACACACAGACACACACACACACACACACACACACACACACAGACACAGACACACAGACACACACACAGACACACACACACACACACACACACACACACACAGACACACACACACACACACACACACACACACACACACACACACACACACACACACACAATTAACTCTTGACCTTAAAATCCTTTTGGAGAGATAGCCATATTAGACATTTCTCTCACACACATTGATTTAAGTCACAAACAGCATGAACGAGGGAGTGGATCAAACGCCGGTCGTTTAATGTTTCTGTCAAAATAAATATATTAAAACATGTTTTTATTTAATAATTAGTTAATTTTTTTTCCCCCTGAAAAACTCAGTATGTTTTTTAATTGAATTTAATAGCAATTGTTGTGCACCCTGGCCGCAGAGCAGTGGATCTGTTCCCCATAAATAAGGCAGGATCATAGTCAAGGGCTGCTGGATACAGTGTGTGTGTGTGTGTGTGTGTGTGTGTGTGTGTGTGTGTGTGTGTGTGTGTGTGTGTGTGTGTGTGTGTGTGTGTGTGTGTGTGTGTGTGTGTGTGTGTGTGTGTGTGTGTGTGTGTGTGTGTGTGTGTGTGACTCCTGCTCGCTCTCACAGTGTAACAACACGCTAGGTGTCCGTGTTTCACTTTAAAATCTTAACCTCCACATTTCTTCTTTATTTCTTTATTCTAAAAATAAATGTAGCCTATACGGTGTTGAAATGATGTGTTGTATATTTGTCATAAACTACATTGTAAGAGCATTTCTGACGGCCTATATGGCGCATGTGCCTTTGTGGGTCCATTATTATTAGCCTATTTATTTATTTGTATTCTAATTATTGTTACTCTTCACAAATGTCACACAAATATATATTCCGTTATTTTGCGGATCTCATTCAGATTCGAAATCGAATTGAAAATCGAAAATAACGATAGGCAAATAAATGTTTAGTGCGCATAGATCACGGCACCCCTAAAACGGTACGTTGTATATGTTCTGTAGAGTCAAAGAGTCTTATTGTTCCTTCATGGATCACTAGCAGCACGCGGCTCAGGTCCAGATAGTCCACTGCACACTTGAGGATATACACAAAATAACTTATGCAAGCCAGAAAATTGAAATGCAAAAATATAGATTTCAGATAAACACTTCTGCCTCTCAAAACTCCATTGCAAATTGTTATGTTGTTATTATTATATTCAATGTAATTGTATCTCCATTTAGATACATGGAACAATCTAAAAATACAAAAAAGTTCATGATATTAATGATATAATGACAGCAAGTTTTTTTACTTAGGTACATGCATTCTAGCATCATTTGCTAAACTAATCTTTTTCCTATAATCTTGTGTTTCCATCCACATTACCATCACTGCTGAGGCCGGGTCACTCTCAGTTAGCCGCCTGGATGCAGATTAAATCGTCCCTTTGTTATCTGGGAAATCTGTCTGTTGGCTAAATCCAGATCAAGTTCACTTCTTCAGAAAGTCAGAAGATGTTTTCACACTGAAAACAGCATATGATAGCTGTTCCCATGCATCCTAGGTTTACAGGCCTCACCTACCAGTGTGGGGTCGGCAGGCCTGCAGCCGAAGCCTCAAGCAACAAATAAAAAGGTAAAACCTTTTCACGGCTGGCAAAAAGGGACACATATTTTAAGACGCTAAATCCTGAAAAGGTGCAGCTTCAGCCAATGAAGGGCAGCCGCAGCCTCCTCCTGACACTCTCCCCTCACATCTGAGGCTATAATAGGCCCATCATTCCATTCTTTGCTTGTTATTTTCCTCCCGAGGATGGTCGGCTGCAGCAGCAGGGTGCCTACAGGCTTTTAAAAAATACTGCAGCAGCTGCCAAGAAAATGATTCCTGTGTGATGGCCAGCTTGGTCTAAGTGACACAAATGGCATATGAAATTGGGCTGTATGAAAAGTGTTGATAGCTTATTTGTCACAGGATAAAAACTGTGAATGTCCTTTTATTAAAGTGCTGGTGCCCATTGTGGAAGTCCAAGAGGAGTCTTTGAGGGGTTCTGGAGGTCTTCCCTGGGGCTTCGATGGGTCCCCAGGCAAAATAAAGAACAAATAACACACTGGTAGTTTTTGTTCTTAAGAAGGTTGAACAGAGAAGGGACGTTTTGCCCAAAACCTGAGCGGAAGTTTGGTGGTTTGAAATGCTGTATATTGCACATTTCTGCTCCACACTTTCTCTTTAAATCTGCACAGCTCTCCACGTTGAATATAGTATTTTTTATACTTTATTATTTTATTGTCCCCAGTTTCTTACATATTAATATTTTGGGTAAACTTTGAATTTGATTTTCTAAATGTTTTTTGAAATAGCTTTTATAATAGTACTGTCTTCCGCATCTTTCTAGAAAAACTAAACTTATTTCTTCTTTCTGTGTCTTTGTAACATTTATACCAAAGCAAATTCTTTGTATGTGTAAACCTACTTGGTAATAAAACCGATTCTGGTTCTGAGTCTGACAAATACATGCCAACATATTATAAAGGTGTGAAGGGTTATGTAACAGGAACATTCTCAATTGTATGAAAGAGATTGATTGGCTAATATCTTTCTATCAAGGCCTGTGCTGGGTGTAAAGGAACATTCTGCTCGGCTGTCACCTGTTGCTGTTTGCCGCTCACAGTTCATTCAGGCCTCAGAGACGACTGACCCAGCACGGAGAATGTAATGGTGTCTGTTTATGTCAACACGCACAGCTCATTCAAATGAATTCCTGTTTTAATTGTCAGAGCGGGTGACGTTAAACAGCTTGTGTGGGGTCTCAGAAGGTCACATGAATAAAAGTATCCTCCGGCCTAATTAGAGCACCCTTTTTCTTCAGTCTGAAAGCGGCGGGTGCATCCAGCTCTCCGCTTGGTCGCCACCTCTAATTGTGTGTAATTAAAATCCCCTAGTCATGTTTTCAAACTTGACCAGGTGTGGTTTGAATGGGAGCATGGGTCGGTTTAAGTCTGATTCCACACTGCGATCTGGAGAAGAGATGCTGAAGAGAGCTGAGAAACCTCTGTGTGTGTGTGTGTGTGTGTGTGTGTGTGTGTGTGTGTGTGTGTGTGTGTGTGTGTGTGTGTGTGTGTGTGTGTGTGTGTGTGTGTGTGTGTGTGTGTGTTTCTGGAGGCACAATAGTGTACAGACTTATTTACTATACAATATGTAACTTTCTCACACTACCAGTGATGCTGTAGTAAATGAATTAGACTAAAGTGAGAGTATCTTTACTCTCCTGTCCTCTTCATCAGTCCATGGTGTGTTCTCTGATCTTATTTCTATATTTCTGTTCTGTTACTCTTCATAAGTTAATAAAATCAGCTCTGTATTTTTCGTTAAATCCAATGGATTTGCTAACAACTCTCTCACAAGTCCGTTTTTCAAGTCCATCCAACACAATGCATTTTGTTTCTCCAACAAATCCCCCTTACTGAGGAAATAGCAATGAAACTGTCCAAACACTAAAACACACAAGAGTCAAGTATTCTGATTCTATCAGGTGGCTCAGCCCTGATTGGAGTCACAGTCAGCTCTTTGTTTTGGCCTAAGAAGTGGCCCACCTGCAAGTCAACCCTTTCCCAGCATGCTTAGCAGGATGATTTCACCAAGACAGTCAGAATGTGTTCCGTAGGAGTGTGGTTTACGACGAGCCAAGTGCAATCGCACTGT